TAGTAAAACTAGAATTTACTGCTAGTCAAAAATGAATTTGAGTTAAAACTAGTTTTAACTAGACAAAACGGGTTTTAACAAAGACATTCAGTATAAACTAGTTTCAACTAGTTAAAACGCGTTCTAACTAAAAACGGGTTTTGACTGTAACATATATATATATATATATTATTTATACTATACATTATATACTAACATGTATTATACTAACAAAAAATATTATATATACTACATATATATACTAACATTTAAATATATTCTTAATAACTTCATTTGTTATAATGCAACAAATAAAATTTTTATTTGCTGCATTATAACAAATGAAGTTATTAAGAATATATTTAAATGTTAGTAAAATAATTCTTGGGGTTATTTGGATACACTGGAAATGAGAATTTATCGTATAAGAAATAATGGAAAACACCCCTATTATCCAAATTCCTGATATTCAAATTATTTTCAGGAACTCTATACAGCTATCAGCTATATCCTATTATCTGAATATAAAATAAAATAATTTAAAAACTTAACATGCAATTTTAATCAATTTGTTGCTTTTACTGTTCTTATAATAATTCTTATTTACTATATATCTATACTTGAACAAAATAAAATATAAAATGTTTTGTACTTGTATATACTCTCACACACACACAGTTTCAATTAACCCAAGAGTCATTGAAGTGGGGTTTTGCATTGAGATCTGTTGTATAAGAGTGTTTTGTCTTTGTCAATAAAAACAAGAAAACTAATACAATAATGTTTTACAAAACTTGGTTTAGTGATTTGTGATACTTGAAAAGATTATAGATGTTTTTAAAAAAAAAGAAGTTACATTGGTGATTTTTAATGACTATGAATTTTGAAAAATTAATGGTTAATAAAAGTTCTATTTCATATATTATATATAAATATTTATATATATTATATAACATTTTATTACTATATATTTTATCACTTTGTATCAAACATGTTGTTCAAGTTTTTGATTATCTGATGTACAGTACCCTCAGTCTGCATTACCTTAAATAATTAGGACATGCTACTGTGTATGAATTGCATTTTGTGTGGCTCTATAAGATGTCTGTCACAATGAAAATATATCCCATTTCCCAGAATACTAAAGAAATAAGAATTGCTATCGGTTGCCATCAATTTAATTAGTTCAGAAAAATTATAGAGTAACTTATTGACAATTTATTTTTACAGAATAATTGAAACATTATAATTGAACCATAATTGAAACATTATAATTGAACCATTAACAAAAACATTATAATTGAACAATAGAGCCAGACTCCTATGGGTCTATAATATGGCTAATTAATTAAGATAGTAAGTAATTTGAGCTAGATGTAGATAGTTAAGCAACTATCTCACATTAAATTTAATCATTAGAAATAAATTAATTTAGGATATTCTGGAAAAGTGATTTGAAGATGCAAGTTCAAATGCAACTTGCAGCTCCTGCTTATCATGCAGATGCTTTGCCAGTTATGCTATACAGATCTGTCTTATCTTCATTTTCAGATCAGATCAATTAATTTAGAAGATATATGAGAGCAGTTTTTTCAAGCTCTGATGATCCATAAAACAAAGACAAGTGTAAATAACAAAATGAATTTATTACCAAAAGTTAGTACAAACATGGTTACTTTTCAACATAATCACTGTGAAGATTGAGGAATTTCTCATATCTGTGGACGAGCTTTTCCATCACCTTGTCATAGAACATTGCCGCTAGTGAATTGAGATGGCCTTAACGTTGTTTTGAAGATCGTCATTAGTTCATTAGTCTCAAACCTCTGACCTGCTAGCAATGTTTTCAGTTCAAGAAAGAGGTGGAAATCTTCACATATTAAAATGTTCCAAGCTGGATGGAAATCTTCACCCACCTTTAAACACCCCAGCATTTAGCCCTGATTTAGTACCGAGCGACATCTTTCCTGAACAGAAAAAGTGGCTAGGAGGGCAGAGGTTCAAAACTAATGATGATCTTCAAAACAATACTAGGGCCCATCTCAATTCACTGGCAGCAACATTCTATGACAAGGGGATGGAAAAGTTTGTCCCACAGATATGACAAATACCTCAATCTTCACGGTGATTATGTCGAAAAGTAACCATGTTTGTACCTAACTTTTGGTAATAAATTCATTTTGTTATTTACACTTGTCTTTGTTTTATGGATCATCAGAGCTTGAAAAAAAAAACAGCCTATGTAATCATACTACTGGTCAGTCACTCATGCATTTGTAGCTTGATAAGAATGTAATTGTATTGCTCAATTATTAACATATGGTTTGGCTGTATACATAAAAACCTTATATTTTGACATGTTAAATATAACATGTAAGTAAACTAAGTTGATCCATCCTATGTTTTAAAGAAAAAATTCTAGAAAATCCAGGATGAAATATATTAAAACATATTGTAAAAAGTACAAATAATAAAGACTTAAATTAATTTTTGTTCATTTATCTTTGACTTATTATCCTTTGTTGTTTCTAGCTGCAAGAGGTAATCCATTTTAATGAATTTACTGGTTCCTTAAAGAAAATATTTTCATGTACTGACCATTCCTTTCAACAAGTTTTCTATATAACACTGGATATAAGTTCCCTATGAAGATTGTAAATTATATAAAATTTTGTTATGGCTAGATAATGATGTTATTACATCAATATATTTCCTAGGAAACATCAGGTGCTTAGGTTAGCAAATATATAAAACTGTTTAAATTATTGAAATTATCAAAAAATATCAAATATCATATAAGATGCAAAGATGTCAGATCTTTTGATATTTGATGACTAATTTCAAGATTCAGTGAATATAGCATAACAACAGTACTTTATTACTTGTAATTATTTTTATTAATTTTAAATTTAGTTCTTGAACTATTAATAATAATCATATAGATCATATAGCTTGATATGTTATTGAAAAGTAATAATTAATTTCATATTAATTTAACATCTTAAAGTTCACAAATTTGAATAATAAAAATTCAAATATATCAGGAATTCAAACTGAACTACAAAAATGAAAGCAGGATGAACTGGTTGTTTTAATTATTTTAATATAAGTTAATATACTGACACACTTTCACCTGAAAATATATCACTACAGTAAAGAAATAAGACACAAACAAACTTGGTCTAATGGTGTTAAATGTTCTTAAAATTAATCATACTTTTTTTTTTAATAAACTCTGTTTACAACATATATAAAAATATTTTCAGAACAGTTTTTTATCAAAAAATTAGAACAAAATCTTCAAATTAAAAACCTCACTTGCTATGTAAATTCAAAAAAGAAAACAGTTAAATTAATCTAAATCTATCAATATAAAATAAAATTAGAAGTTATGTTCTTACTCCAAAGTTGTATAACACATTTTGTCCTACTGCTTTCATTTTTATTAATTTTCGAGAAAGCCCTGAACTTCTGAGGCTTAATTTTGTTTTGTTTTTTTATTTTTGTTTCAATCTTTCAAGATTTTCTTAGTCTCTACTTCTTCATTTAATAATAAAGGAAAATCTGCATCTTAAAGTAACCAGAACTTGTTTAATTTTTAAAAAAATGTTTTTGGCTCTTGAGCTTTCATCAGTTCAATCTTACAAAAAACATTTTTGGAACAGCTTTGAAAATTGAATGAATATAGTTTGTAAAAAATTTTTAAATGTTGTTCAACATTACTGTTAAAATAAAATTTTACAAAATATTTTAATATTTAAACTAATAATAGTTCTTGAATAGTAAAATATTTATTTCTAATAACTTAGTTTCCTGAATTAATTTAACTACTTTACTAAAATTGGCTTCCAACAATCATACAACTCTTTCTATCATTGGAATTTATAACCTTTATTTGGCAATCCCATGTATATAAATTTTTTTTAAATATCTTTAAAGGGAACCTAGTTCTGTATTCTTGAGTTATAGATGGTTTTTCTTAGTATACCATTAAATCTTTTTTCCCTGTCCATATCAGCAAAGTGGATATGTTGAAGTTGTCTTTTGCCACTGATCTGTAATGCTCTGATTCTAACCATTATTGATCTTGAAGTGGAGTCTATACAAAATAATTTTCATTGTGCAATGATAAACTTATTGCATACACTTCTGATTTTAACAATTTATCTGACCTAAACTTATCATTCCTAATTGCTCCAATAACTAAGTTTCCTTCTACTTCCAAGCAAGTATCTTGCTTTCATGATATATGCAGCTGCTAGCATCTACAATCTTAGTCCTAACTGCTAATACTTCTTTTTGTTCTCTATTCTGTTCTCTGTCAACCTTTTTACAGAAGATTTGACAATAATGTATGACTTTTCGTAGGACTCCATGATTATCAGCTGTTTTTCAATTAACTTAAATTTATTATTTCTAGGTTTTATTGCAGAGGAATGGGAAACTGCCCTGCTAATTAGAGCTCTAGAAGCAGACAAATTGTTAATTGTTTGATTTTGAAAATACTAATGTGTGAAAAGCTGTTCCATTTCTTGTAAGATTGAACTGATGAAGGTTCAAGAAGAGTCAAACATTTTGAAAATTAAACAAGTTTTGGTTATATTAAGGGGCAGATTCTGTCTTTCCTCTATAATGGTGCCAAGTTTTGTTAGTTTTAAAAACATTCAGTAATAATAAAAAAATATTTATTATTGCTTTTTGTTTTCATTTGTCGTCAGGATCTTTTGATTTGTTGTATCAGGTTTCAAATTTAGATATTTTGAATTTTTTTCTAAAAAAGAATGAATAAAATGTTTAAAGTAGATATATAAGTAAAGTATCCAAAGGGCATTTCATCCCATATTTTGTTGGAAATAGACACATTAGCAATGTCTGACAATATGAAACTTTCGAAAAAACATGTTCTTATGCCGTTGCTCTATCACTTCAAAAGCGGCCATAGTGTAATGAAGCTCACGATCTCATCTGTAAAGTATTTAAACACATTCAGGTTTTACCTGTTAGGTGTTGTGATTCCGTGGACTGATCTTTGTTGGCCTTTTTAAAAATCTTTCACATTTGAAAATGAGTATCTTTATGGTTTTTATAACTAGTCTAGATTAAAGATCATTTTTCCTGTTTAATTTGATATATAATAAGTATTTGTTGATATAGATTTGATTGTTCATAATATAATGTAAAGAAATGCAAAAACCAGTTTTTTTAAGCCTTTATTTATAATTGGACCATTTGAAAAATGCATGCTCAATTCTGATTGGGTAATTGTTTATTTTCATTCTATTTATTGTTTTCTGTCCTTTGACAAAAGATATATGATGAAGTGTGCAACAAAATTTTATTTTTTGATTTGTTTATGTGCCATTCTGTTAAATATGAAAATTTGCCACTAAAAAAGTGCAATAAATAAATAAGTATAAACATCAAATTATCCACAATAATTTGTTCTTTATACTTATTTATATTTACATTTTAAAAGAACTAAACATTAAATTATTTAATAATAACAGTAATAACTTCAATAATAAAATAAAAGGATGGGAAAACCTTTCGTTGTGAAAAAAATTCAATAAAAGTCTCAAAATTGCTATATTGAGTTCAAGTTTCAATTTTAAAATTCTGTCAATAGCTGGAGCTAGAAGTACACTACTTGTACAAAAAGATGGAGGACATAGAAAATACAAGCAGACACTTTTAGATCAGGGGTTACAAAAAATTATGGGTATATTGCTGGATCAAAGGTCATTCCCATATCTCACATCAGAAAGTGTTAAAAGCTCAGATGAAATGAGAGATTTATATTCAAATCTGCATTTTCAGATCATCACAGTAAAATATTTAGTAGTAAAGATCTGTTTAAAAATCTACATAATTCAAAATATGGAAGTCATTAATTATTTCTGTACTTTTTATTTTTTAAATTAAAGCAATTTTTTTTAACTAACTGTTTCTCTTCTTTATGGTATTTTTAGTAGATACAAAAGTTATAAAGTTTTTCATAGAATAAAAATAGTACAGAAATTATCTTTTGATAAAGAAAATTCATGAAAATTATTTATAAAAGTAATATGCACACTCACTCACTTTAATATGTACCGGTACATATACTCACTTTATACAGCTGGAAAATTTCAAAATGTTTACAAATTTTACTTATTTAAATATAACTTAAATCCAATTTCAATTTTTATTGAAACTACTTGCAGAAAATAAATTATATTTTGAGATGATTATTTATGTATAAAAGCAAAAAGCATGAAAAATTTATTATTATTAAAAACATTNCACAGTTGGTTTGCTTATCCAGCTGTATTATAACCGCTTTATCAGACAACGCGCCCAGTATCTCTTCATCACCTCGATATCCACATAATATATAGCAGTTTTTCGATACACTGCGTTTAAATACACCATTTTTTGTTTTTACACTTACAACTCTTACTTTACCATCAGACCCTGGGAAAACTTCTGTAATTCTTCCCACTAACCACTTAAAGATAGGTATATTATCTTCCTTGATAATGACTAATGTCCCTATTTTAATATTTTCTCTTTCAATCATCCACTTATTCTGTTGTTGTAAATTATTTAAATATGTATTAGTCCACCGTTTCCAAATGATTTGCGTCATTTTTGTTACACGTTGCCAATGTGAAAGTCTATTGTTTGATAGAGATTTAAGATCAATATCTGGTAGCGTGTCAATTGGTCTACCTATAATGAAATGAGCAGGTGTTAATACCTCAAGATCATCTGGATCCACTGATAACGAGGAAATGGGGCGACTGTTTAAAATTCCCTCGATTTGATTGGTGATTGTGAGAAACTCTTCTAATGTCAAGATTGTACCACCTACAACTTTTTTTAAGTGATACTTGAACGATTTAACTCCTGCCTCCCACAATCCACCGAAGTTTGGGGCTCTAGGGGGGTTGAAGTTCCACTGAATGTTTTCTGATGACAAATAACTAACCAATTTTTCATTTGGCTTATTTACCATATTGTACAATTGTTTCAATTCTGCCTGGGCTCCAATAAATGTTTTTGCATTATCCGTAAATAATTTGGCACTTTTACCGCGTCTCGAGAAAAATCTCTTTAATGTTGCAATAAATGAATCAAATGTGAGCTCAGATACTATTTCAAGATGTATGGCTCGAGTCACCAAGCAAATAAAGATACACACATAAATTTTATTATACGTACTGTACCTCTTCTTTGATTCTTATATTTTTATGAGAAATGGTCCACAAAAGTCAATTCCTGTACAGTTGAACGCATAATTTTGGTTCACTCTCTCATAAGGTAGATTACCTAAAGTTGCTGAGAAACAACTGGTTTAGCCTTAAAGCAAGTAATACATTCATGAACAACCTTTCTGCAGAGTGATCTTCCATTTAAAGGCCAGAACATCTGTCTCACTTGATACAATAAAGCCTGTCCGGTAAGATGTAGATATTTCCTATGAAAGTAGGTTAAAATACATTTAGTCAAATAATGTTTAGCAGGCAGTATTGCAGGATGTTTCTTATAAAAATTGAGGGTGGAATTCTGCAATCTGCCTCCAACTCTTAATATATTATAATTATCTAAAAATGGACATAAATTACTTATTTTGAAACTTTTTGGCAACGATTTCCCAGACTGAATGCACTTTATTTCTTCCGAAAAGCTTATTGTTTGAACATTTTTGATGATGCAGATTAAACCTTCTCTTAATTCCTTGGTTGTAAGATGCCCATAGATCCTATCAGGAGGTGATAATTTTGCATTTGTTATAAATCTTAGGCACCACGCCATGATTCGTTGAAGTTTTACAAATGATGATATTTTACTAATGACAGGCAGCTCTTCTATGCTTGTGCTAACACTACAAGTAGCATGTTTACGCTCCTCCTCCCTTAATGCTGCATCACAAATAGGTATATTCTTGGTGAATGGGATGTCATTGGACATCAGCCATTCAGGGCCATTCCACCATAAGTCACGTCTGAAAATATATTCTCTGGGATGCCACTCCAGACATAAAATCTCTATCACCCTAGTTCCACTAGCTGTATGATACATGTCATCTAACGAACCGCCATGCACATCCTTTAACATAGATAGTTCACTTGTGAACCATTTGTGGAGCTCAAATCCACCTCTACCTAATAATTGAATTAATTCATTAATCAGTTCCTTACCCATTTCAGAGTTGTTTACACCAGTCAACATGTCATCCACATAGAAATCTCGCAATACTATTTTTGAGGCTCTCGGAAACTCTACACTCTCATCAATCGCTAACTGCTTCAAAGCTCTCGTAGCCAAATATGGAGCTGATGTTGTTCCATAGGTGACTGTGTTAAGACGAAAAGTTTGTATTGGCATTTCTGAACTCTCTCTCCAAACTATTCGTTGAAAGTCACAATCCTCAGGTCTAACCTTCACCTGTCGATACATCTGCTTGATATCAGCTGTTATTGCAATATTGTGACAACGAAATCTTAAAAGTATATTAATCAAATCTTCCTGGGTTTTTGGACCAATCATTAAGGTATCATTAAGGGAAATACCTGATGAAGATTTTGTGCTGCCATCAAACACTACTCTCAACTTGGTCGTTAAACTTGATTCCTTTATTATATAATGATGAGGGATATAATAATGTTGATTTTCTAAGTCTTTACAATTAGGTGAGATTAACTCCATATGTCCTAACGACAAATATTCCTGCATAAATTGTCGGTACTGATTATAGATATCTGGCTTCATAGCGAGTCTCCTTTCTAAACTGTAAAGTCTTCTAAGGGCAGCAACACGAGAATCTCCTAACGCCTTTCTATCGGGTTTAAAGGGTAATGCAACATAATATCGTCCGTGATCATCTCTCCAAACACTTTTCTCGAACTGAATTTCACACAACTTTTCCTCAGTACTTAATAATCGAGATGAGGGAATATTTTCAAGTTCCCAAAATGATCTCACTAACTCATCCGTTTTTACACACGAATGATTCACCACAACTCTGTTGGGCTCATGGGATTCAAAGGTCACTTTGCCTGAGATAATCCAACCCAATTTAGAACTCAATGCAAATGGACAGCTCATACTACGTTTAATTAAATTTCCATTGATTAACGACAGAAATACATTTACGCCAAACAGGATATCTATGTTCCTTGAAATATAAAAGAAAGGATCGGCCAAAATAAGATCACTAAAGTCAGTGCAAATCTCTGAAGGTAATGAAACATATGGAAGGTTTTCAGTGACTCTTTCTATTACAAAGGCAGAAGTAGAAGCACGCAGTTCACTTTTAAAATGTGAAGTAAATATCAATTCAACCTCTCCATTGCTCATAGTGGTGAATGCGCCTAAACATGAAACCGAAATTGTACTGTCCCTTACATTTAATCCTAATTTTGTCACACACTCTTTAGAAATAAATGATCTCTGACTTCCTGAGTCTAATAAACATCGACATTCTACCCATTCGTTGTTAGAATTTAAAACCTTAATTTGAGCAGTACATAATAGAACTTGGTTGTTTGCATTCTTTCTTGACCCTCCTTCACAATGTGAGGCACAAATTGACTTACAAATTGTCTCTTTCGTCATCTCAGGACATATACTTGAATTCATGGATGAAAGGCTAGTTTGTGGATTTGACTCGGAGTCTACCTTAGAGATGGAATTTCTTTCCTTTCCATAACACAAGAGTGAGTTGTGTCTTCTCTTGCAGTTTAAACAAGAAGCATTGACAGTGCAATTTCTCACCCTGTGATTTTTCGACAAACAATTAAAGCACAAACCTTCCCTTTTTGCTAACTCTATTCTGTCCTGTACCTTAAGCTTCTGAAATTTAGTACATTTGTATAAAGCGTGGTCTCCCTTACAGCATGCACATTGTCCCTTCATTTGAGACGAGAGAGATGTAACCTTAGGCATGAATCTTTTATTCATCTGTGTTTTGGTTGGCTGTAGAGTTCTAACATGACCCTTCAAAAATTCTAATAAGTCATTTAATGGAGGAATATCATCACCTTTAAGTGAGTGCTCCCACCAGCCTCTGGTTGTTGCATCCAATTTAAATTGAATAATGAACATAAATAATATGCTCGAAAACTCATCTATATTAAAATTTAGAGCTTCTAAGGATCGAATACACTCTGTAGTTGAGTCAACAATATTTAAAATCTGTGCCACATTTTCATAATTTAATGTTGGCAAACTCAATATCTTCTTAATTAACGAAGCTACCAATTCTCTTTTCCGAGAATATCGTTGGGAAAGTAGTTCCCATGCAATTTTGAAATTTCGATCACAAATGGATAGGGATTGTATGATTTTTAAAGCTTCTCCTTTTAATGAACACTTTAAATACTGTAGTTTTTGAGCACCTGACAATTTTCCATTGTTTGTAATAGCTGCTTGGAACAGGTCACTAAATGGCAGCCATTCCTCAAAATTACCACTAAATGAGGGCAATGTTAATTTAGGTAATTTTAAATCTGACATTCCACTAGCTTTATCAACGTTGGATATACTATTACTATTTTCCAATTTTAAATTTGTTCTATCTATCACTAATATCAACTCATCAATCGAATCTTGTGCTATTTGACTTTCCTCAATATATTGTTCTATTTCGTCTTCCTTACAAATATCAAACAGTCTCTCAAAGACCTCCTTTACTTCATTAGCAATTGCACCCAATTTCGAACGGTAAAGATCAAGTTGCACACTATCTGAGTCGTCAACATTCCCCAGAATTTTCTCTCTTAGTCTAGTAAGACTACTCTTGACAACTCTCTTTTTTATCGACAATGCCTTTAGATCCATTTTNAATAAAGCCTGTCCGGTAAGATGTAGATATTTCCTATGAAAGTAGGTTAAAATACATTTAGTCAAATAATGTTTAGCAGGCAGTATTGCAGGATGTTTCTTATAAAAATTGAGGGTGGCATTCTGCAATCTGCCTCCAACTCTTAATATATTATCGTTATCTAAAAATGGACATAAATTGCTTATTTTGGAACCTTTTGGCAATGATTTCCCAGACTGAATGCACTTTAATTCTTCCAAAAAGCTTATTGTTTGAACATTTTTGATGATGCAGATTAATCCTTCTCTTAATTCCTTGGTTGTAAGATGCCCAATACTATAAGGAGGTGTTAATTTTGCATTTGTTATAAATCTTAGGCACCACGCCATGATTCGTTGAAGTTTTACAAATTATGATATTTTACTAATGACAGGCAGCTCTTCTATGCTTGTGCTAACACTACAAATAGCATGTTTACGCTCCTCCCTTAATGCTGCCTCACAAATAGGTATATGCTTGGTGAATGGGATGTCATTGGACATCAGCCATTCTGGGCCATTCCACCATAAGTCACATCTAAAAATATATTCTCTGGGATGATATTCTAGACATAAAACCTTTATCACTTTAGTTCCACTAGTTGTATGGGACATGTCATCTAACAAACCGCTATGCACATCCTTTAATATAGATGGTTCACTTGTGAACCATTTGTGGAGCTCAAATCCACCTCTCTCTAATAATTGAATTAATTCATTGATCAGTTCCTTACCCATTTCAGAGTTGTTTACACCAGTCAACATGTCATCCACATAGAAATCTCGCAATACTATTTTTGAGGCTCTCGGAAACTCTACACTCTCATCAATCGCTAACTACTTCAAAGCTCTCGTAGCCAAATATGGAGCTGATGTTGTTCCATAGGTGACTGTGTTAAGACGAAAAGTTTGTATTGGCATTTCTGAACTCTCTCTCCAAACTATTCGTTGAAAGTCACAATCCTCAGGTCTAACCTTCACCTGTAGATACATCTGCTCGATATCAGCTGTTATTGCAATATTGTGACAACGAAATCTTAAAAGTATATTAATCAAATCTTCCTGGGTTTTTGGACCAATCATTAAGGTATCATTAAGGGAAATACCTGATGAAGATTTTGTGCTGCCATCAAACACTACTCTCAACTTGGTCGTTAAACTTGATTCCTTTATTATATAATGATGAGGGATATAATAATGTTGATTTTCTAAGTCTTTACAATTAGGTGAGATTAACTCCATATGTCCTAACGACAAATATTCCTGCATAAATTGTCGGTACTGATTGTAGATATCTGGCTTCGTAGCGAGTCTCCTTTCTAAACTGTAAAGTCTTCTAAGGGCAACAACACGAGAATTTCCTAACGCCTTTCTATTGGGTTTAAAGGGTAATGCAACATAATATCGTCCGTGATCATCTCTCCAAACACTTTTCTCGAACTGAATTTCACACAACTTTTCCTCAGTACTTAATAATCGAGATGAGGGAATATTTTCAAGTTCCCAAAATGATCTCACTAACTCATCCGTTTTTACACACGAATGATTCACCACAACTCTGTTGGGCTCATGGGATTCAAAGGTCACTTTGCCTGAGATAATCCAACCCAATTTAGAACTCAATGCAAATGGACAGCTCATACTACGTTTAATTAAATTTCCATTGATTAACGACAGAAATACATTTACGCCAAACAGGATATCTATGTTCCTTGAAATATAAAAGAAAGGATCGGCCAAAATAAGATCACTAAAGTCAGTGCAAATCTCTGAAGGTAATGAAACATATGGAAGGTTTTCAGTGACTCTTTCTATTACAAAGGCAGAAGTAGAAGCACGCAGTTCACTTTTAAAATGTGAAGTGAATATCAATTCAACCTCTCCATTGCTCATAGTGGTGAATGCGCCTAGACATGAAACCGAAATTGTACTGTCCCTTACATTTAATCCTAATTTTGTCACACACTCTTTAGAAATAAATGATCTCTGACTTCCTGAGTCTAATAAACATCAACATTCTACCCATTCGTTGTTAGAATTTAAAACCTTAATTTGAGCAGTACATAATAGAACTTGGTTGTTTACATTCTTTCTTGACCCTCCTTCACAATGTGAGGCACAAATTGACTTACAAATTGTCTCTTTCGTCATCTCAGGACATATACTTGAATTCATGGATGAAAGGCTAGTTTGTGGAGTTGACTCAGAGTCTACCTTAGAGATGGAATTTCTTTCCTTTCCATAACACAAGAGTGAGTTGTGTCTTCTCTTGCAGTTTAAACAAGAAACATTGATAGTGCAATTTCTCACCCTGTGATTTTTCGACAAACAATTAAAGCACAAACCTTCCCTCTTTGCTAACTCTATTCTGTCCTGTACCTTAAGCTTCTGAAATTTAGTACATTTGTATAAAGCGTGGTCTCCCTTACAGCATGCACATTGTCTCTTCGTTTGAGATGAGGGAGATGTAACCTTAGGCATGAATTTTTTATTCGTCTGTGTTTTGGTTGGCTGTAGAGTTCTAACATGACCCTTCAAAAATTCTAATAAGTCATTTAATGGAGGAATATCATCACCTTTAAGTGAGCGCTCCCACCAGCCTCTGGTTGTTGCATCCAATTTAAATTGAATAATGAACATAAATAATATGCTCGAAAACTCATCTATATTAAAATTTAGAGCTTCTAAGGATCGAATACACTCTGTAGTTGAGTCAACAATATTTAAAATCTGTGCCACATTTTCATAATTTAATGTTGGCAAACTCAATATCTTTTTAATTAACGAAGCTACCAATTCTCTTTTCCAAGAATACCGTTGGGAAAGTAGTTCCCATGCAATTTCAAAATTTCGATCACAAATGGATAGGGATTGTATAATTTTTAAAGCTTCTCCTTTTAATGAACACTTTAAATACTGTAGTTTTTGAGCACCTGACAATTTTCCATTGTTTGTAATAGCTGCTTGGAACAGGTCACTAAATGGCAGCCATTCATCAAAATTACCACTAAATGAGGGCAATGTTAATTTAGGTAATTTTAAATCTGACATTCCACTAGCTTTATCAACGTTGGATATACTATTACTATTTTCCAATTTTAAATTTGTTCTATCTATCACTAATATCAACTCATCAATCGAATCTTGTGCTATTTGACTTTCCTCAATATATTGTTCTATTTCGTCTTCCTTACAAATATCAAACAGTCTCTCAAAGACCTCCTTTACTTCATTAGCAATTGCACCCAATTTCGAACGGTAAAGATCAAGTTGCACACTATCTGAGTCGTCAACATTCCCCAGAATTTTCTCTCTTAGTCTAGTAAGACTACTCTTGACAACTCTCTTTTTTATTGACAATGTTTTTAGATCCATTTTTAATAAACTAGAAATATCGTACCTGAACAACTAAAGCAAAAGATCCTTTAACTAAAGCAATAGTCCAACGTCCAATACTTGAAGTAGATCTTCACTCCAACTGAAAGTTCGTCTGTATCCAATTTACTTCACTGCACTCAACGTTACCACCATTCGCCTCGACGGACCAGAAAATGTTGTATACAAATGTAGTGATGATGATGGTGGTGGTGTAGAATGTTTTCGGATAGACAGTCAAAAAGAACACAGTACACGCTTCTTTTTAACAAAAAATAAAAACACTTTAATTTCTCCAAATCAGCGAGTGACTCTCTGGCACTCCACCATTTTTTGATAGTTACAATACTGGATCAGCCACACAGCTACTCACTCTGTTAGCTGCCTGGTTAGTACACACTATCTCTGACTCTACACACCCCTAACTAGGCGGGACAATCTCCCCCACACGCCCGGGGACACCGTCACCTCACCCACCCCACATGTGTGACCAAGCTGTGGACTGTCCATCACCACCTGCTGACATCCACACACCTGACACATGTCTCACACATGTTACACTGAACTTAACAAGCATCAAGTTGTAAAAAACACCAGTTTCATTGCAGCTAAAAATATTGCATGCTGTACATTGTTTTAAAAGTCATGGCAAAGTATCATTTATCCAATCCTGAACCATTTCAACATTGATGTCATTGTGTTCTCCATGAACTGTTACACTTGATATTCTGTGTCTTATTTTGAACTTGTGAAGTCATCTCACAGAAACAGAGAAATCTTTTACTTCTAGCTTTTTAGCTATTTCATCTGCTTTCTCAATGAGCATTGGGACATTTATTGGAATATTTTTGGCTTAAATTTGTTTGAACTATTTGAATTAGTCTATCCTTTACTCTAGTAAATTTTCTTTCCTGAGCTTGCATGCACTTGCTTCAGTTTTCTTGCATTGATAATAAATGCTATTGAGAATAGATATATTAATATCTTCAGCCCGTTCCATAAGAGATACCTATGGGTTTTCTTCTGTTTTTCTAATTATGGCTAATTTTTCAGCCATGTTTTTACATTTCAATTACATGAAACCATTCTTGTTTGTTTAAATATTGAGAAAAACACAGTGAATGCAAATATCTTAAAATTACAGTATAAATGAAATAAAAGATATGAAAGGAGCAAAACTTTGCTAGAAAGTAAAGATACAAAATGAAGACTACTTATTTTTACTGTTTTTAAAATCAGTGTTAGTGAACTGAATTTTTTCTAATCAATCACAGTATCAAATGTAAAATTTTGGGAAGGTTTAATTTGCAAATTTAAGTTCAAAATCGTTTTTGGTTAAAATTTGTTATCCATCAAAGCATAATTTCAATTTCCAATTGTTAAATGGGTAGGAATCCAAGAAAATCAGTTTGATTTCATTATTAATAGTTAAATGATTTTTTAACTTTAAATTGTAAGCAAAAGAAATTTGTTGACAATTTATATTTTAAAGTTTGTTAGCATTGGACCATTAGATAATAAATTTTACATTTGTATAGATAGCTCTCTTAAACTTCCTACACTTAAAACTTGTCTAACTTCTTCTAATTGTTCTCGTCTCTCCTGTAGAGGAAAGTGACATCCTTTCCCATATGTATCACCTGCAATTTTACTTTTCCAGTTATATATAACAGGGAAAGTATGGAAATTAGTCAAAAAATGACTTTCCAAGATTTTTACATTTTTGGACTCTGGTTCTTGAAACATCAAGAAATACAAACAGAAAAAAACTTCTTTTTTGTTTGTATTTCTTGATGTTTCAAGGACCAGAGTCCAAAAATGTAAAAATCTTGGAAAGTCATTTGTAAAAATCTTGGAAAGTCAACATTAAAAAAAACTTCTTTTTTTTAATGTATGGATGTTAATATGTGGGGAGGCACAATTTTGTTCACCTGCTTTGAAGCTTAATTCCTGTGTCTTTTGTTGAAAATTTCTGAATTTTTGCAAGGAGGTTTGTGTATTAGGAGATTGATGCTGTTAAATTTTTGTGATTGAAGGTCAAGGGGTAGGGAAATAGAGGAGGTCACATGCCATATCTTGAGTGGAATCAGATTTAATGAAGATTTTATTTGATATTAGCATTTACAATTTTTTTTTTTTATAAAACTCATCTCTACCCTCAAAATTAAGCTTTTTGCCATTTTATAATAATTAATAATAGAAAAATTATTCTTTAAAATTTTTCTATTATTAATTATNTAAGATGTCAGTTTTTATGTATGTACACTCTCTTCTAATATGTTTCAATGCAAAAAAGCTAATTAACTAAAACTAATTTGTAAATCTTATTATACATAAAATTCTTGCATAGACGTTAAAAATAATTAAGAGTGTAAAATTAAATAACTTTTAAAAATTGTTTAATAAAGCTTTGTTGATAAGCCACTATATTATTTCATTTATTTAATTAAATACAGACAGACATCACGGCCAAAACCTGTTTTTCAGACGATAAATCTGCGATATAATGCAAAATAAACGACGACACACAATTTGACCAAATGCCGTACTTCCTCTATGTGATATTCTACAAAAGACAGGAAAGTAAGAGAGATCACACAACAAAATTCTAAGTATTACCCCATAAATAAACCGCAATTATCTGGAATGTTGCCAAACAGACTAATGCAAGTTTCGACGTCATTTTATTTTTAGAAAAATATGGCTACAACGCTCGTATTTGAAACGATCACCAAAAACACAAACACTAATGCTATCGATTATATTGATTAATATTTATACATTTATGTAACATTCGCACCGCATTTAAGGTTAAGCTCTACCCAACAAAATTTAAATTATTTAACGCTAAATCTGATCCTCTATATTACAAATTTTCCTCGAAAATGCGCTTATTAACAGAAACAGTTGTTCGAGAATATAACATAATAATTACATATAAAACCGAACCTAACGATACAGCTTACTTTACAATCCGCTGTATCGTTTAATATAATCGTTCGAGCTGTATAGTTTAATATAATATAGGTTCCGTTTCGAACAAGTTTTACTGTATACAGTAAAACCTGACCGAAACGGAACCTAAATAAAACGGAAACCCGCCTAAACGGGAAAAATTCTTCGAAACAGAGAAAACTTTCTTATGTTAAAAAAACCTGTCAAACCGAAAAAATATTCGGTACAGGTTTTTACTCCAATGATAATTAGATAATTAATTTCAACGCTTTTATATCTTATGACAAATTCTAGGAGCGTTGGAAAGAACGTTATTACACACTAAATTATGTAATTAAGTAATGTTTAATATAATTTAAGCGTATAGTTTAATAAAGCAATTAAAATTGCTATTTGTCTTATAACTAATTTCATTATTATAATAAAAATTAAACCCCTACAGCCTTTAAAATTAGAAAAAAAAAAAGAGACAAGAAGGAAGAGTTCTTTGAAATTATAAACTAGTTATTAAAATTACCTCCAGAAAGTATAATCTCCAATTATTAAATTCAGTTATTTTATAGGAAATTTTAGCGATTAGTTTAGTCATAAATTTGTTAAATTTAAATATTCTAAAATACTATATTTTAATTTTTATCCTTAACCGAGCTAAAGTTAATTTTATCATCGAGCTACACGAGCCTACTTACTTACACCACGTCGGGATGGCATTGACGGGATTCTTTGGCTCCAACATAAAACGTCACATCCACTTATTGTGCAATTGAATGAGGCGTTTCTGTATAATTTCCATCGACCAATCGCGTTTTTCGTAAATATCGACAAACAACTTCTCTCTCTAACGTTTACTCTCAAAGTGGGAAATACATCGCGTGGTACCTGCGATTAACTCTATAAAAATCGATTGTGGTTTTATTAATAATGGTTACTACAGAAAATAATTATTAATTTTAATTAAAAATATAATTTCTTTACTCGGCAATGAATTAGGTTAGTAGACATTTAAATAATTAAAAATTTCATTTTTTTAAGCCTCTCGTCTACTGTTTTTACTGTGTTTTCTTATTCCGATAATCACAATGTGGGTTTTTTTATTTATTAAACCCGAGACAGAAGAATTATATACAGAAACTAACAATCTATTCTCATTTTTTAATATTTTATCTTCTCTCCAAAATGCATTTTGGGTCTTAAACCCCTGTTCGTGTAGAGTACGCGCAATTTACTGTAACATTACCTGTACTCCGACTGAAGAGGGATTTAAGACCCGAAATGCATTTTAAAAAATTACAGTTTAATTTATAAGCTAAATACTTATTATTATACACAAGTAATTTAATTTGATAATTCAGGGAAAATATTCTGAACTGTATCCATCTTTGACTATCTAAATATAATGATTGATTATAACCAATCATCTAAAGCTTAGCATTCATTTTTCTTACAGCTTATCAATTTTGAATGCATCATGATCAATAACCAAATGCCATTTAATAAATTTTGATGTAAAATTTAATAAACACGGAAGAATAAAAATTGGACGAAGAGATTTTTAGGATGAAAACTGTATTTAAATTTATTCATATTATTAAGGTTTATTATTTGATATTTGAATGATAAAATGCTCTTAGTAGTAATAGGGCTGCAAAATCGCCACAACGAGCTCCGAATAATTGAAATTGCTTAATTATTTTCGTTATATGATTTTTTAAAATCAATTTATCATCAAAAACAATGATGGGCGACTGATTGTAGGTATTTTATTGTACTGTTAATGGACTGTACTCATCGAGTAGAGAGAAACGCCCCAACCTTTTGGCTACTTTTATTTTAAGATTATATTTTCCAAATAAACTGGATAAAAGTTATAAAATACAATAATGATACAAATAGTCAAGTATCATTATTGACAAGTTTAATGACATCTGACATATTTATCGTAAAATATTCTAATTTATAATCGAGACACGCTGAGTAATTTAGTAATTAAAACAGACCACGCTGTAATGATTATAATAGAAATAAAAAATCCAGCAACAAGTTGCGTAACATTCCCGGAAAGAGTTAAAAATTGTGTGCTGGGCCATCTATTACGAGATTTTATTAAAGGAAAGTTTTTATATTATTAATTATTATAAAATGGCAAAAAGCTTAATTCTGAGAGTAGAGA